GAGCCCCAGGGTGGGTATAGAAATTACTTAAAGAAATCAAAGTTAAAGAAATAAATATAATAAAAACTTTAAAAAGCCTTGACTTGGATTAAAAGACAAGAATGAGGATTGAGATCAAACTCCCTTGAAAAATACTACAAATATTGCAATTCCATCTGAGGAGAAGATAAGGATGGGAATATTATAAAATGTATTTGTGCTCTTTTCATAGCACTGATGAGAAGCAGGTAGTTTTGTGATTGGTTGATCCAGGAGCCTCCTTGCAGGCATCATTAAAATCTGCATGGATTGCATGCTCTGAGCAAACACCCCGGGCTTCACAGACCCAGTTGCATTTCATGGCAAGACTTAGTGTCTCCAACTCAGTCTGGCAGCCTTGAATTTGTAAACCCTCTTTGGAGTTTCCCCCAGCCCTTCTGAGATGCTGTCTTTTTTCTCTGGACAGACAAGGAATACCTGCACCGGAGCAGCTGGGTGTAATGTCAAGGAAGAGGGTAAAAATTATTTTTCGGCCATAATGCCAGGAAAATGCTCTTCCTGGTGAGGCTGAGAGCACTTGCTGAGGATTTCCTCATTTTTCTTCCTTCTCCAAAGAGACCTTTTCAGCCTCTCTGCAAATGGCTTCTTCATAGCCAGGATTCCTTATAAACAATGGGTCGTAATGCCGAGCAGCTTAACTTTCTCCACCACCACCACCACATCAAAGAGTCTTTCTGCATCTCAGCTTCAGGAGGAACATCTGAGGGCTGTGCGCCGCCCCCCCCCCCCATTTGCAGCATCTACAAATATTCTGTAAGTATCTTCTGGTGTTCTGATCCCTGAGTACTCCAGGGCAAACTGGTGGTCTCCAAGGCTATGTCTGATTTCTACTTTCCATTCACTAAAAAATAACAATATGGGTGGGTGGGTTGTTTTTTTTTTCCTGTATTTTTGTGTACCTTCTTTGGTTCAGTGTCGTGGGAAAAATAAACTGTTGGTGAAGATTCATCGTCATCTACTGAACCACCATCATCACCAAGGTGCAGGTACTGGTGATGCTCAATATCATTCTCTTGACCTTGTCTTTGACCTTGCACTGAGAAATCTCCTTGTAAAAACTTTTCTGAGCAAGGGAGCCCATAGTCTCATCTGAGATATGATCTTTTTCCTCTCCATATGTGACCCCTGCCTCTGGGTTACTGTCAAGCTCACCCAGCAGGTTTTCTTGTCTCTCCAGCTCTCCCAGGCAGGCCCAGTGTTCTTCATCCATAAGCAAAGCATCCTTGGACTTTACATCATTTTCAAAGTGTGATGTTTTGGGTCTCGAACGAGGTTTGTGCACAATTTGGGGTTTTCTTTTCTTTCTTCTTTTTTTTTTTTTAAAGATTTTTATTTATTTATTTGACAGACAGAGATCACAAGCAGGCAGAGAAGCAGGCAGAGAGAGAGGGGGAAGCAGGCTCCCTGCTGAGCAGAGAGCCCGATGCGGGGCTCGATCCCAGGACCCTGAGATCATAACCTGAGCTGAAGGCAGAGGCTTAACCCACTGAGCCACCCAGGCGCCCCTGGGGTTTTCTTTTCAATACAGAGTTGTTATGAATGTGTTTTCTTATCTCAAAAAGTAAAAAGTAAAGTAAGCTAGAGAAAAGAAAGGGTTTTTAAGAAAATCATAAGGAAGAGAAAACACATTTATAGTACTGTCCTATTTATTATTTATTTATTTATTTTTATTATTTATTTTAAAAATCCACATATGGGGTGCCTGGGTGGCTGTCAGTTTGGTGTCTGCCTTTGGCTCAGTTGAGATCTTGGGGCACAGGAGGGATCCCCACAAGGCTCCCTGCTCAGCAGGAAGTCTGCTTTTCCCTCTCCCTCTCCCCTTCTTCTCCCTCATCCCTCACTCATGCTCCTTTCTCTCTTCTCTCAAATGAAAGATAAGGGGTGCCTGGGTGGCTCAGTGGGCTAAAGCCTCTGCCTTCGGCTCAAGTCACGATCCCGGGGTTCTGGGATCGAGCCCTGCATCAGGCTTTCTGCTCAGCAGGGAGCCTGCTTCCTCCTCTCTCTCTGCCTATTTATGATCTCTATCTGTCAAATAAACAAATAAAATCTTTTTTAAAAATGAATAAATAAAATCTTTTTTTTTAAATCCACATATCAGGGGTGCCTGGGTGGCTCAGTGGGTTAAGCCTCTGCTTAGGCAGAGGTCATGATCCCAGGGTTCCGGGATCGAGCCCCACATCAGGCTCTCTGCTTCGCGGGGAGCCTGCTTCCTCCTCTCTCTCTGCCTGCCTCTCTGCCTGCTTGTGAGCTCTGTCTGTCAAATAAATAAATAAAATCTTTAAAAAATCCACATATCAGTAGACCCACACAGTTCAAATCAGAGTCATTCAAGGGTCAACTGTATTTACTGATTCCCTACTAGACTCTAAGTTCCACGGGGACAAGGACCATGGATATTCACAGTGACTGCTCTTGACCAAAGACTCACAAAGAATAGTCTACCTGGAAGAAGAGGTCATATAAAAACCCAAATCCCAATTTCTCCTAAAATAGCAGTAAATAAGGCTTCCCTAGTTAGGAGCACCAGCCGGTGATACTGTGATTTATGATAAGAAATATATATTTAATCTTCTTCCAGTTCCTGGCACAGAGCTCCTGAAACTTTTGGAGCTCCTTCCCTTCTTTCCTTCCTTCCCTCCCTTCTTCCTTCCTCTCTCCTCCCCTTTCCCTTTTCTTTCATTCTCTCTCCTTTTCTTTCTCTCTCTCTCTCTCTCTCTCAGAAATAAAATTATATTGAATACACCACAAGGGAGCAGAGGGCACGAAAGCAAAGGAGAGACTGTCTGCCTGGAGTTTCTTAGGGGATGAGAGCTCTAGGGGTGTCTTTTCTTATTCATAATAAACCCCAGACAGCCACACCTGTAACTGCAGGGTGTGGGTAAGCACATTACTGGTGGGGAACCCCCGTTGCTTCCTTTCCTGCCCTGGGAGAGGACTTCTTTCCCTCTGGCTGGGAGCTCTCTTTGTCCCCACTGTCAGTATGACCCAGAAGACCTTCAGCATGGACACCAGAAGGAGCCAGCTGGCAGACTGCCAGTCCCATGGGGAGCTAAGTCAGAGCCAGGAGTTTTTCTGCCCTCTGCCCTGGAAATTATTCCAGGCGTGGAACACCATGCAACCCCCTCTAGAATTCAGCATGTGTTCTCATCTTACTGGCTGGTCCTACTTATGCCTTTTGAGGAGAAACAACAGCTCAGGTGACCCACCCCCTGGAATAACCCCTTTTCTTTTTTTCTTTTCTTTCTTTTACCTCCACCAGAAGAGAGACCTTGCCTTAGAGCCCCCTGAGAGGGTGCCTGGTTGGCTCAGTAGGTTAAGCGTCTGCCTTGGGCTCAGGTCATGATCTCACATCGGGCTCCGGGCTCAGTGGGGAGTCTGCTTCTCCCTCACAAGCCCCCTGCTTGTGCACTCTCTCTCTCTCTCAAATAAATAAATAAATAAATAAATAAAATCTTAAAAAAAAAAAAAAGAGCCCCATGAGAACTGAGGACCCACTTCACTTCCTTGGCTTCCCTCTGTGGCTATGTCTTGCTGAGAAAGTTCTAGAATGAGACGAGGAGAGAAGGGATGGTAAGTTGTGATGGTTGATTTCATGTGTCAGTTGGACTCGTCCAAAGGATGCCCAGATTCAACATTATTTCTAGGTGTGTCTGTGAAGGCGTCTCTAAATGAGATTAATGTTTGAACCAGTGTATTCACTGAAGCAGGAGACCCTCCTCAATGTGGGTGGGCATCTTCCAGTTCATCGAGGGCCTGACTAGAACAGAAAGGAGAAGGAAGGAGGAATTGGTCCCTTTCTGCTTCCCGTCTCCCGCTGAGCTGGGACATTGGTCTTCCCCTGCCCTTGGACTGGGCTTTCCACCACCGGCTCCCCTGATTCTCAGGCCTCTAGACTCAGACTGAGCGACACCACTGACTTTCCCGGGTCTGCAAGATGGTGGGTCATGGATCGCTGGGTCCACCGTCTTGCAGACATCTGGCAGATCACGGGACTTCCCAATCTCCATACTTGAGTGAGGCAAGTTCTCATAATAAATCTCTTCTTACATATATCTCCTATTGGTTCTATTTCTCTGGAGAGCTTCTGATTAACATAGGGACATTAGTCTTCATCTGAGGGCTTTGTGGGGAGGGCTTTGTGGGCAGCACAGAGCAGAGAGTAGGCGTCAGGCCTTCTGGAAGTGCTTGGTGATGGGGGTCAAACGCAGGTGGGGCAGGGATGGGACACTCAGAACCTCTACAGGGGCAGGGACTGGCCAAGGAGGGGGCCGAGGACCAGGGGGACACTGACATACTTGCTCCCCAGGGAGACTCTTGTGAAGAGGAGAGAGGTCAGAAAGGCTAGGGCCAGGCCCCTGGAGGACCTGATGTGGGGAAAAGGCTGCTCTACTTCTGCCCCCACCTGCCCTGGGCCCCACCTGGGCACTCCCACCCCCAACAGCAAGTCCCTTCTGGTGCTTCTTTCTCAGAAGCTGTGAGCCACAGCTACTTCATTCTAGGAGGAAAGGACACTGGGTTTGGCGGAAGGGAGCAGCAGGAACGTGGAAGGGGACAGAGTACCGCACTCACCCCAGGGCCACAGCATTTTCTGCTGTACAAAGCAGGTGTTTTCACTACCCTAAGGTTGTGTTCTCTCTACTGTTTCACCAGGCATGTAAATTTGGACAAGAACCATATTACTGGGGGGTTCAGCTCCCTCAGCAGGACGTTGAGGTTACCCTACCTCAGACACCCAACCTTGCAGGCTGGCCTCCTGGGCACTGGCCCGTGAGATTCCAGCAGGTGCTTCCTCCCCGGACGCTTCCAAGGGACCAAGGCAAGAGCCACAGAGGCAGCCGTGGGACCGTTCCCCAACCGACGCTGCAAATTCTAGAAAGTTCAGGATGGTGGCGGCCAGGAAGCAGGCCTGCAATGGCTCCACCCCTGGGAGGGCACAGGAGGGTGCTGGCCCAGCCCTGAGAGGGCCTCAGGAGCTGTGGCAGCACAAAGGAGACAGAGCCCAGCACGTCTATACCATGTCCTGGACTCCTGCCCTGTTGGTACTCCTCGCTCACTGCATAGGTGAGAACACCCCAGAGCTTGCCACCCCCAGCCCCATCCCCTGCCCTCGCCTGCCCCAAATACCCATGTGCTTCTGTGCCCCCAGGCTGTGGCTCCCAGCCAGTGCTGAGCCAGCCGCCATCTGTGTCTTCATCTCTGGGAACCACAATCCACCTGCCTTGCACCTTGAACGGAGACCATGACGTCAGCGTTTACAGCATCTACTGGTACCAGCAGAGGCCCGGTCACCCTCCCAGATTCGTGCTGAGATATTTCTCCCACTCAGACAATGACCAGGGCTCCAAGATCCCCCCTCGCTTCTCTGGATCCAAAGATGTGGCCAAGAACACGGGGTATTTGAACATCGCAGAGCTGCAGCCTGAGGACGAGGGGATGTATTACTGTGCGGTGGGGTTCCAGGGCATGGAAAAGGTGAGGGTGATGAGGAGGGAAGAAAAGGAGCCTGCTGCTCCAGGGTCCCAGGCACCCCAAGACTCACATACCGTGATCTAAAGACAGACGGGCATGCATCCTCAGGGAGAGGCGCGTGTGGGCAAGGAGGGCTGGGGCCATGAGCTTCACAGGGCCGAGGAGAAGAGTCCTGGCTCAGCTTTTTCCTGTTTGGCAGCTTTGCTGAAACCCCGCAAATTCTTATTGTCCCCCTCCCCTCTGCCCCCGGAAGTCCAGATTGGGGGATTAAACTCGCTTGTGTCTTGCACAGTTGTTCCACTGAGTTTGGTGCGCCTGGTGTGCTGAATTGTCCTGGGGAAGCCGCAGATGTTCTGTGAAAGGTCAGAAGGAGTGGGACGCACCCAAGAACCAACCTAGGGTGAAGGCCCCACGAGACTGGTGGCTCATAGTCTACGTGACCCCAGTCCCTGCTCTGGGAGGTCCTGGGGGGGCAGGGGCTGCACCTGGGGAACATGCCTGTTGAGGACAGGATGCTGGATCGTGCAGGGGTTACAGGGTGAGCAAGCCTCTGGGGGGTCGTGGGCGCCAAGGGACAGGTCGGGAGCAGGTGCTCCAGCCCGGTTCCTCTGACATTCGAACACGGTTCTCTGTGGTGAGGCTGTCCTGTTGAGCAGCATCTCTGACCCCAACCCAACATATGCCCGGACCTGTGCCTTCCTGCCCCTAATTACAACAACCAAAAATGTCCCCAGACATTGCCAAAAGTCCCCAAGGTGGCAAAATTACTTTGATTAAACACCACTGATGCAGGTGAGAGAAACGCATGGATTCTTTTGCGCAAGAGAGTGGCAGCGGCTGGCAATTATTTTCTATAAAGGACCATACAGTAAATAATTTGGGCTTTCCAAATTACTGTGACAGCGGTCACAGATAACACATAAATGGATAGGTATGGCTGTTTATTATTAACTTTATTTACAGAAACATAGGGCCGTGCCAGATAGTACCAGACCTTGCTGACCCCTGCTCCGGAGGAGCTCTCCTGCTGCTGGGTTTCAGTCAAGACACATTTGGTGGGGCAATCAAGGTCAACCGCAAGTCCTCCTGCCTGATAACTCCATGGAAACCTCTGGACCTGGGGAAAAACCTGGAGGCAGGGGGAGGGGCCTCACCAACAGGTTTACTGGATGAAGAGGAAACAGTGGGTGCCTACAGGCCTGACCAATTGTGCAGCTCCCTGAGTCCCTGGGTGGTGGGTCAGGACGTACCCTGCAGGAAGGGACCCCCTATATGGGTACTTAGGGGGGACATGCCTCCTACTCAGAGAGGTGCCAGGCAGACTATCCGTCCTATGATCCCAAACATGGGTGAGAACATCCATTTCCCAAGGGGTCCCCCAGAAAGGTGGGCGCATGTCAGTACTGGCTCTTCCACCAGTGTAAAACAATGGCCTCAGCTCATGCCAGGTCCTAGGTACCCTCTGAGTTTCTACTTCCTCAAATGCACTGTGTTCTTCTTCTTATTGTATTATTTCCTTATCAGTCACTGGGCCTGGCCTTCCTCTTTGTCAAGTCCTTTCCTTTAGCCTGAGTCATTTCTCACCTCTACCATTATCTGGCTTCCCGCCTGTCCCCACTGCTCAGCCTGTACCCTCCTCCGTTCCTCCTCATTACCTCCCAGATCCAGCTTTGCCTGCACTCCTCCTCTCTAACTAACCTTTGCTTGTCTCCCACCTTCAAAGTCACCTATGCAATCCACATCTGTAACTTTTTATTTTCTATTGGCTACATTTATTTAAAAAGATAAAAAGAAACAGGTGAAATGATTTTTTAAAAGATTTTTTTTATCTGACAGAAAGAGATCACAAGTAGGCAGAGAGGCAGGCAGAGAGAGAGAGGGAAGCAGGCTCCCCACCGAGCAGAGAGCCTGATGTGGGGCTCGATCCCAGGACCCTGGGATCATGACCCGAGCCGAAAGCAGAGGCTTTAAACCACTGAGGCACCCAAGCACCCCTGAAATGATTTTTAGTAGTGCATTTTACTTAAGCCAGTACATCCCAAATGTTATCATTGCAGAATGCAGTCAATATAAAAATTAGCTATGATGGTTTTAAACTTTTTTTTCCCAGTATGAAATCCTCAAAATCCCGTGTGTGTTTTACACTTGTGGCTCATCTCAATTTGGACTGGCCACGTCCCCAGTAATCAACAGCTGCCTGTGGCTTGGGCAGGAAAGTACAGATTGAAGGGAGAAATTCAGACTCTTTATCATGACGCAGTCTTTGGAGGCAGGCCCAGATTTGGTCCCAAGTCCCATGTCTTAAAGATTTTTATTTATTTATTTGACAGATAGAGATGACAAGTAGGCAGAGAGGCAGGCAGAGAGAGAAGGAAGCAGGCTCCCCGCTGAGCAGAGAACCCGACACAGGGCTCGATCCCAGAACCCCGGGATCATGACCTGAGCCGAAGGCAGAGGCCTTAACCCACTGAGCCACCCAGGCGCCCCCCAAGTCCCATGTCTTATACATCCCCCCCTCAAGTGTTTCTGCCGCATTAATTCTCTGCAATTGATCCGACACCTAATCCTCTTGGTTGCTTCCAACGCTTTTTCCAAGCCGTTCATTGACGGACAGGACTTCCTGACCCTTTACAGGGTCCTCCATCTGGCGTCCCAGTTCAGGGTTCTACGAGGATCTCAAAACTCCCTCCTCAGGCAATAATATTTCCCTGATTTCTTAACACAGTTACCAGCTTCCTGCCGTGTGTAAACATTGTGGTTTCCTAACTAAGCGCCCACCACACAGATCTAAGTTTATTTTGCAAGTCTCTCTCCTTAACTAATCTGCAAACTCTGCAAATCCTGGTGGGCAGGATCCATTCCATGCGTTTGATGTGTCTGATAAACACAAGGAGCTGATAGAGTTGGGCAAAGAGATGAATGAGCAACTGATGGCACGACCAAAGAGATTCCTGAGTTCCAAAGACCCTGCCATTCTGGGACTCCTGGAGATGGCTGGGGTCATTGTGATTCCCTAAGAAGGGAAATTATGTCACATCAGTGACTGGCCACATTTTGTCCTTCTGTCTGTCTGTCTCTATCACACACGCACGCATGCACGCACACACACACACACACACACACACACACACCTCTGATGCCTTGCATATGAAGCTGGTGATTATATACAGCTTCTGGGAGCGTGTGGGAAGGAAAGGGTCAAAATAGGCCAATGCAGGGAAGGGAACATTTGGGGGAACTTTCTGAATCAGTAACAGAGGAGAGGGATGTCAGAAAGGGTGGGGTTCCCAGATTGTTGGGATCTGGTGCTGCATCTCACCCCCACTGCCACCCCTAAGCATCTACAGCAACCCCAGCTGTGACACAAGATGAGAACCTGGGGTGCTAAGAACTGTGGCCTGTGCACAGAATTGCTTGGCACAGATCTCAAATTTGACACAGAAACACAAAACCCAATGGGCTTGGCTATGACACCAGTGGTACTGAAGATGGAGGACCCAACATTTTTGACCTGAGTTAGACCCTGAGACCCCCCAAATCTGAGGGAGGCCCAGGGGTCTTGGGGAGTGGAGCATGCCAATCAGACAGTGTGAAAATGCAAGGGGCTCTTGGAGCATACAGAAGGCCAGTTTTGCCTTGACATGGTTTGGCAAAATGAACTGAGGGAGATGGCCCCACATAACAAGGGAGGGTGGTGGAGTTAACACGAGGACACCCATCAGGATATGGAGTGGGGGCCCTTGTATTCCATTCTAAATTGTGTTTTTGTGATGTAAGCACAATGCCCTAATCCATTGCTTCATTACTGGATGCAAGCTGGAGAAATCCTCATTCCTGCCTTCATGCATTCCTCCTTGACTTTGGTAAGAAAACTTCCCTTCATCAGTGATTCAGTCCCCAGAGGAGCTATGTGTAAGGTAAAAAGCAAGATAAATGTTTGATCTTTTTCCCTCTTATTTACCGACTATCAATAGTAACAAGTCAGTGTGCCAGCTTCTTCCAACTTTGATTTGCTAGTGTCATGATAAGCCCATGGGTATAAGCATATTTGAGGTGTTTAAATCCATTGCAAGTAGTTCTCAGTTCTCAGGGAAAGCAAGGGCCCCAGGAAAATAGCCAGACAAACCCAGACTGCAGAATTCTGGAAAAGAAAATTGGCATGGATGCTTCGAAAAGTGAATATCAGGAAAGAAAAGGTGTAGACCCTTACAGATGAAAAGAATCTGGAGAGATCTAACAAGTAACGAGAACAGAGTTTATACAGATTAGATCTTCTCAGGAGACCAAACCAATCAAAAAGTAGTAACTATAAATAAAAGCCATCTTAGTGACCATTGTGGAAATTTGACTGTGAAGCAGCTATTAACTATTTCGGGATTATAATAATTTAGATGGGATCAGGATATTGTGGCTTTTTAGGAGAACGTGTCAAGACAACTGCAACTGAATTTGAAACTTTTAATTTTGAAATAATTATAGATTTATATGAAGTTGCAAAGTAATGTACAAGGATGGTCTATGCACATTTTCCCTAGCTTCCTCCAATGTTAGCATCTTGCATAATTATAGTACAGCATTAACACCAGGAAATTGACATTGGTATAATCTAGAGCTTATTCCATTTTTTCCAATTCTACCTGCACTCATTTGTGTATGTGTGTGTGTGTGTTGTGTGTGTGCGCCCATGTTATCACGTGTGTATCTTTGCACGATCAGCACCAAGCAAGATATTTAGCTTTACCATCTACCATCCACCATCTACCATCTCTACCACAAAGCTCCTTCATGCTACCCCCTTATAGCCACATCCATCCCCTCATTCCTCCCAACCCTAACCCCTGCAAGCATCATTCTGTCCTCCATCTCTTTAATTTTGTCCTTTTAAGAATGTCATAGAAATAGTACCATCGTAGGTAACCTTTTGAGACTGGCTTTTCCCATTCAACATAATTCCCTTGAAGTTCATCCAATTTGTTGCATGCATCAATAGTTCATTCTCTTTTATGGCTGCGTAATATTCCATGGAATGGATTACCACATTTGTATAACCATTCTCACATTGACAAACATTTGGGTAGCAT